CCCTTTATGTGTATTCTTTGCTGACCACATTTTTCACCTGCCCATGCTTGATATTGTCCAGCTGCAGTATGCCCAGATATTTGTAGGCTTCGGGTTGGTGGCACTTGATGGTTTGTCCATTGGGCATTTCAATTTCATCACTTTCTACGATTTTTCCTTTCTTCAGTGCCACTGTGGCGCATTTGTCCAGGCTGAATTCCATGCTGATGTCAGTGCTAAAAATTCGAACTGTATTGGTCAGTGACTGGATTTCGATTTCCGATTTTCCGTATAACTTCAGGTCATCCATGTATAGCAGGTGGGAGATTTTCTGTGAATTTTTAGCAGTTTGATAACCCAGGTTAGTTTTCTGTAAAATTGTTGACAGGGGGATCATGGCGATGATGAACAGATGATGGTGGTGATGATGATGATGATGATGATGATGATGATGATTGTTATTGTTATTGTTATTATTGCTGTTATTTTTGTGTGAGCCACTAGGGCATACATACTCCTGAGACATGACTAGAGATCTAACTCTTGGGATGTCATGAAAGATTCTTGTACTACAAAATGCATCACTAGCATTACAAAATTTCCCAATACAAAATAAAATTATGTTTTTTTTTTCAGCCCCTGCAAAAAGTGACCAAAAATAATTTTAAAAGATTTTTAGAGATTGCTCTGTGAGTGAGATGGTTGACAATAAATTTGATCTTGTAAAAAATAAATATAAGTAAGATTTTTAGAAGTATCTTTTTCATCAGCCGCTATTTCCATTCAAAGTCAGGACAAGTGGCCGAACTTACATGGGTCTTCAGACTTTGACAAATGCTTCTTTAGAAAACTGCAGTGGTGGACAAGCTCTTCCTCCATTTCTCGGGATGACTCACTATTAAGAACGAAGAAATTCTGCTCCGTGGCGTTATAGAGCAGCCATTCATCCTTGGTGGCCACCAACCCAGTAGGATTCCTATGGAGGAAGAAAAAAGGATACTGATTTTCCAAAGAGATTGATCTTGATCTGAGAAACTACACCCAAGAGAAACTCCCAAAGGGGACTTGAGGAAGGAGTGAGGATGGCCTTTAGTGCCCCCTGCTGGTTAGAGACTTGGCAGCAGGGTTCATGCAGGCTTTTAAATATAGTAAGGAAAGAATCCAAGTCACCAAATGGCAGGAGACCCTAAAGGGCATCCCACACCCTCTCCCTCAGTCCAACACAATCCAGGATCAGCTTCTGGTTATGAACAGTTTAACTTGCAACTTGCACAGAGCCAAAGAGGAAGAACTTTGCTTCACTACTTTCTTCGAACTACATAGATCTACAACTGGTACTTATCACTGGTCACCATTGGAAGTTGCAATGGACTTCTATTAACAATTGAAACTCAATGGAATGGCTGGAATGGCAGTGTCTGGAGTAGTGCTTCTCAATCTCAGCAACTTTAAGATGTGTGAATTTCAACTCCCAGAATTCCCCCAGCCAGCATGGTTATCTGGGAAATTCTGGGAGTTGAAGTCCACACAGCTTAAAGTTGCTGAAGTTATAAGCTCTGGTCTGGATTCACAATGGTGGGATTCAAATTTTTTTACTACCGGTTCTGTGGGCATGGCTTGGTGGGCGTGGCAGGGGAAAGATACCGTAAAATCTCAAAGGTGGTATTTGCTGGTTCTCTGAACTACCCAAAATTTCCACTACTGGTTCTCCAGAACTGGTCAGAACCTGCTGAATACCACCTCTGGTCTGGAAGCTTCTTCACTGACTCCCTCACCTATTCCAACAGTTTCCTTAAAGAGACACTTCATAATAAATTTACAAACATGAACTACATTCACCAGACAGTTCATGTTAAGGTGTTTAAATTTAGTAGTTGGAGCAATGTTGTTGTGCAGTGAGCCAAAACACGCAGTTGTGATTGATTGGTTGAAGAGTGCTGGCTCCTGCATGAGGCAATCTGTGCTGTGATTGGTTGCTGTGAGTGTGGTGGGGGAGTCCCCCCCCCCACTTTTTTTCTTCTTCTATGTGCCCTGTGATTTATCTTATCGTACTCCTGTTTGCCTGACTAATATATTTGCTTATATATAGTTGTTAGATATTAATTTATATAAAACTACAAGTTTGTGTCAGTGTCTATGACTTCACTTGGACATCGACTTCGCAATTCCCTGGCAGTTCAGAATCTGGCTTTTGAAATGGCCGCCCAGTCATAGCAGCCAAAGTTCAATATCTCTAGATTTCACTAGAGATTTCATCTACTGTCCTCACAAGAGTGTCAGCCCTGAAACCATTTTGGAAATCTGGGCAAAGCGCCTCTTGACATGAGTGATGTCAAGTTGGCCACACCCACCCAGTCACATGACCACCCAGCCATCCCTACCCAGCTGGTCATTAGGGCAGAACCACTTGTTAAATTATTTGAATTCCACCACTGCAATTAATCTTTTAAGTTTAGCCTTGGAAATTGTATCTCCTCCTCAGATACTACTTAATAGCCATAGGAGGCATGGCTGGAATGGGTGGTGCTGAAAATTTTGAACCTTTTATGGGCTCAAGGTGGGATTAAATATAATATTGGTGCTTTAGCAAAGGCTTAAGGTATCCATGTCACTCCCTAACTTCACCTGTGTTACATGGACCCATATTTCAGGGAGATTAGGATTTTAAGCCCCTAAAAAGGGGTTTGCAAACAATCTTATCTTTTTAGGACAATTTTATTTGTTAATTTATAGAACCTGATGAACCTTTGGCTTTCAAACTCAAATATGTGTTTTGTTGTGCAATAAAATTGGAAGTTGCTATTCTGACCAAGGCTTCCTGAGACTGTAATTAATCACACGCTTAGCCCAAACAATCCTCTTTTTATTTCAATCCTCTGTTCATTCCCAGCCTGTAATGAGTCCCAAACAGTCTCTTGAGATAAGCACCCACCTTTATCTCCTTTGAATTGCTGCCAACAACTAAAGTGCCAAATTAACTGTAAAAAGCCAAACTGAGTACAAAGTCCGCACAGAGTTTCAAGGTTTAATCTGAACAGAGCGAACAAAGTTGCTTCCTGCAAAGGTTCCTTTCTCCTGTCCCTTTGCTCCTCCTTTATATCTTATGGGAGGGGCAATCACCTCCAAACCTTACTCTTGAGTCGCTCCTTTTGTCTTAACTCTTCTTGCCTTCTGGCAGCTCTGCGCATGCACACACTGGGAACAGGCTCCCCTTGTTCCTCTGCCTTGCTGCTGTCAGATTCTAGAGGCTCCAGAGTGAGCACATAACTCCCAGATGGCCCTGGCCCCATCTCTGTATCGGATGCAGGACCCTTATCTGAGTCCTCCCTAGACTCCTGGACTGGCCCTGTGATGATCCAGGGTGGGATACAAAACAAACACAGTCATAGAAAACAGGTCAAGCCCCTTTTATTCCTTCACTTTGCTTCCAAGCTCCAAATATTCTTGATGGAAGACAAAAAACTCCCACACAAACAGTTACAAGAAGAAGGAAAAAAGCAACACAAACCAGGCAATATCCACAGATAACATCCACAGATAACACACACTGGGAAGGATGCCAAACTCAGAGAGGAACCATAAACTAGAGATATTTCCATGCTTTATTTCCAGAGTTTGCCCATACGCATGTCCGTCATCTTATTCAGTTGTCACAGCTGCAGCCCATGAAGAGGATCAAGGCCCTCCCCTCTCGAGTAGACCAGGTCTCTCCTTTATCCTCTCCTCCCTGTGTGCCCTAGGATGGAGAGGGGATGGGCCTGGGTCCTCCTCTGACTGCTCAGCCGGCCTCTGCCCTTCCCCAGCCTCTTCCACAACCTCCAGAGTCACACTTCCACTCCCTGTGGGCTGTTCCTCCTCTGACTCAGAGTCAGTCTCCACCAGGGGCATGACAGGCCCATGTTCCTCCCCACTACCTGATTCTGCTGCAGTCTCCCCAGGCTGCTGGCAGACCACAACAGTTGCATTTTCAGTAAGCATCAGATAATCTATTTCAACACAGCACTTTTTTGTTAAGGAAGTCAAATCCCCCCAAGTCTGCAGAAGCCGATCTGCCATGTTTTTGTGACTAAAAATATGCTTTTATCTCTAAAGTTACCAGAGTATAAACTCACAGAAGGGACCACTGTGAAAAAGGTATTTTTTTTAAAAAAATGTAAAAGTTTTAGGAGAGGCTGATCTTTCTTCTAATTTAAGAAAAATGTGTAGGTCGCTTGAAATTCCACTTTTAAAACCAAATTACCCCACAATATTTTTTTTCCCTGTCACTTGCTTTGCTTAGCAATGGAAATTTTGGTCCCAACTGTGGTAATAATAAATCGAGGTCTGCCTGTAGCATAAACCTAAGCCACTTATAGAAGTTTAGAGGCTTCCAGAGGAAGAACTGATGGACCGAAGACAGCACCCGCCAAAAGGAAAACCAATGACCATGGCAAAGAACTAAGAGCCTTTTTTGGTCTTTTCTGCCGTCCTCACCACTCTGTGCCACCGCCTTCCTCTCCGAAGCGGTAACACTTCCACACCAGACTGTCATGCAAAAATAGGACAAACTAGTCCTGAAACCTTGTTAAGAAACCTGGAGGGGCTCCTTCCAGGTTGTCACCAGGCGTCAACGCTGACTCGAAGGCACCCTCGCACGAGCCAGATTTAATTAATGCATTCTAAGAGTTTCTTAATTCGTGCGGCGCTCTGCCGTGCAAAATTCAGAGCCGAAACAGAAAGATCCGAGGGTTTTGTTTTGTTTTGTTTTGTTTGCTTTTAATCGATTCCCTTTTCTGGGCTTTGCATTAAGTTAGCAGAACATGGTTGTTGTTTTTCCTACGAGGAAAACTACAGGGCATGCGCAACTAAGCCAGTACCCCAAAGCCCTTTCTTGTTTCGCACCCGAACGCTGCCTCCTCCCTGTTGTAGTTCAATTCAATGGAATGAAAAAAGGCACTACATTTCCCAGAGGCCTTTGTGCCACGAAACCGGGGGTGGGGGGAATGCACTGCGGTAGCTTCGTTTACTAAGCGCGACGGACTTTGGAGAGGCTCTTTGCGCGGAATTAAAAAGGTTTTATGGTACTTTAATTAGTTAGATCAGTGCAATCACAGCACCTGAGCTTCAGCCGAGAAGGGTGAAGACGGATGTGGGTCATCAAAGGCTAAGCCCAAGGAAGGAATATTAATAATAGCCTTGTGTTATCTTGGCTACTTTTCTTTATATATTTTTATGGAGTACGCAGGAATTGCAGAGGATTCCTTAGTAGGGTTTTGCTTTGCTTTGTTTCTGTAACCATCAGGTTCCTTCCTCTTTCCACGATCAAGAGTTCATCCGCTGCCTGCTAAAAGAGGGCGCTTGAGCAAGGAAAAGAAGAAAGCTAGTCTTCCAGATCACACAGGTGAGTGAATGGAAATGAATGGTCCGAATTCATAGCCTTTTGCCACCCATGAAATTGCACGTTTTATATATAGGGCTGGGGAGAAGGCTGGCATTGGGATGGGTGCAAATGTCGATAAGAAGGCTCAGGACAGCATTGTGAAAAACAAAGTCTATGGGTGGGAAGACACACTGACATATATCTTGCACATTAAGGGGTGTGCATAAGTGCACCATCGTGCCTCCCGTCCCTGTCCTATTGTCCCCATTTAATTGTACCTATTTCCTGTATTCTTACTCATGTTTATACTTATACCTATTATCTTGTAAGCGATTGACAAATAAAATAAAATAAATAAATCTAAGAGCCAGTGGTGGGATTCAAATTTTTTTTACTACTGGTTCTGTGGGCAGGGCTTGGTGGGCATGGCAGGGGAAGAAGACTGCAAAATCCTCATTCCCTCCCCACCCCACTAACCTGCTTTCCAGCTCCGTTCTCCTGTTCAGGGCAACAAAAGAAGACCCAGCCAATCATCTGGGACTTGGGAGGCAGAGAATAGATGGGGGCAGGGCCAGTCAGAGGTGGTATTCTGAACTACTTAAAATTTCCACTACCGGTTCTCCAGAACTGGCCAGAACCTGCTGAATGCCACCTCTGCTAAGATCCCTTTAGGTTGGAGAACCAAGTTGCATTGTAGCAATGTCTCTATTTTACTTTTTTTTTCTTGCCACCTCCTTCCAAAATTAATGGAACTAATGGATTGTAACAATTTAGGGGGGGGCGGGTGGGAATGTAGCATCCTTTAATTTTGCTTTTCAAAATCTAGGGAAGAGGGGAACTGAGAGAAACAAAGCGATGTGATGTTATGCTGGCTAGGGCAATTGTGGGAGTTTAAGATCCACACATCTTAAAAGTTGCTGGGGTTGGATGAGTGAGTCACTCACGTTTCTGACACGTGTACAACATTGCTGGAGGTGTTTGCACTTGTTAGAAATGTGTTTTGAAGTGCAGTTTGAGGTGCCCCCCCTCCGGGCCATGGCCTGGTACCCGGTCGCAAGTGGCTGGCAAGCGGGTGAAGCTACATTTGCACAAGTGAAGCTTCGTGCACAAGCACAACTTGCACAGAACCATCCCCTCTCTCCCCCCCTCCCTCCCTGCCACTGCCGCCGCTGTTGCCACCACTATAGTGCACCACGGTGCACAGAGCCGGAAAGGTTAGGGACCACTGCCCTGCATGGTATCAAAAAAGACTTAAGATTTTTCTAAACAGGCCTATCAATCAATCATAGAATCATAGGGCTGGAAGGGACCTTGGAGGTCTTCTAGTCCAACCCTCTTCCCCCAAGGCAGGAGTCCTTATTCCATCCTGGAGAAATGGTGATCCAATCTTGAAAACCTCTTAACAATGGAGCACCCATAACTCCAGGAGGCAAGCTATGCCACTAACTAATTATTCTCACTGTTTGGGAAATTTCTCCTTGGTTCCAAGTTGGATCTCTCTCTGACAAGCTTCCACCCACTGCTTCTTGTCCTGTCCTCGGATGCTGTCATGCCCCTGGTGGAGACTGACTCTGAGGGAGAGGAGGAACAGCCAACAGGGAGTGGAAGTGTGGCTCCAGAAGTTGTGGAGGAGGCTGAGGAAGGGCAGAGGCCGGCTGAGCAGTCAGAGGAGGACCCAGGCCCATCCCCTATCCATCCTAGGGCACGCAGGGAGGAGAGGGCCATGATCCTCTTCATGGGTTGCAGGTGTGAGATCTGCATAAGAGTTTGGACCTGCGTGCTAACGAACGCTGGGGACAAATTAGTGTTTTATTCCTAGATGAGGTTTATCTTGGTTGGCGTTCTTCCAACAAACTGTACCTGGTTATCTTCTTGAAGTTTGTAATTAATTATCCTGGTCTGTCGTGGAACTTTCTTCAGTGGGGTTTGTTTTTGGTTTTTGCTTCGTTATCTGCTCTTTGATTTTGAACTGTATTTCTTTCGTTTGGAATATTATTTTGAAGATAGTTTAATCTCCAACTGTGAACAATTGAACAGTGAAGCCAAGTTGAGGCATTAAAGGACCTTTATTTACGTTTTGGTTTTTATTATATTTGTGGTACACTCCGGGTCATCACAGATGCCTTGGAGAATAAATCGACCGCCTCTTCCCTGTGAACGATGCTTCAAGTATTGAAAGACAGCTATCATATTACTCGCATTGTCACATTGGCGTCACGTGGCGTATCGGGACTTTTCCCCCCTTCGCTAAACCGGGCGTGGGCGTGGCCAGCACATGATGCATCTGGCCCACAGGCCGAGAATTTGACAGCCCTGCCCTAAGGCGTACGCCTTCTTTTCGTTAAGCTAAACATACCTAATTCCTTAGGTGTGCATCATACGGTTTAGCCTCCAGATCCATTGTCATTTTCGCTGCTCTTTGCACTCTTTCTTAGCATCTTTTTTGTATTGTGATGGCCAGAACTGGATGCAATGTGGCCGCACTAGTGCAGAATAGAGCGGCAGTATCACTTCTTGTGATCTTGATGTTATCCTTCTTTTGACGCAGCCTAGGACTGCATTGGCTCTTTTGACAGCTGCAGGACACCGGTGGCTCATATTTTATTCCACCAGGCCACCTAGATTCTTTTCACTATTGTTGAGCTATGCACTGCCCAATATGTTCCTGTGCATATGTGCAGGACCTTCCTTTTCTCACCACTGAACTGCATCTTGTTGGATAGGATCCAATGCTGAAGATCTGTCTGAATTTTGAATCTGTCTTCCAGAGTGTTAGCAATTCCTTCCAGCTTTGTGTCATCCACAAGTCTAATGAGCTCTTCTTCTATCCTGTCATCTAGATCTTGTATGAAAATGTTGAAGAGCGCTTGGTTTGTCTGTTTCTCTGTCTGTCTCTCTCTCTCTCCCTCTCTCTCTCTCTGTCTGTCTGTCTGTCTGTCTTGTCTTGTCTTGTCTGTCTGTCTATCTATCTTTCTATCTATCTGGCTCCCCTGCTAAAGAAGAGTTTGAGACAAGGCTGACCCCCTTCTCTCATAGAAACTACTAAAATTTGGACTTATCTCAAAGGACTTTGGGATCAATAACACCAAAATGAATTACTGTAATGTATCATATTAATACAATTTTGTATCTGTTACCTTTGCCTTATTTGTATTATATTCTGTAATTGCATAGAGTCTGTTAAAGATTAAGATGGGGATAAATCTCAGAAATAAATAAACAAAATTGTCAAATCCAGATAGCTACATGGTAGCATATAGAAAGCTTTGAAATGTTTGACTCTTGGAATCCTTTGACCCCTTAGTGGTTATCCAAAGTTTTACTGGATCAAAAAAGATCAGGGCCTCTGATATTATGATACCCTTTGAACTCTAAGAATCCAATCCATATAAGCAAAACTTCTTTAAAAAATTACTGTTCAATAGCCCTTTTTTGCATGCCGTCAGTTGTTTTGTCACTTAAACAATTTAAGATAATCTTTATCTCTTCATTGTTTTTACCAGCATGATAAAGGACAAAGAAGCCTTTCAGAGACTGAATTTCCTCTATCAGGTGAGAAGAATTTCCCGGCATAAGAATTAATTTCGCTGGGCTGTTTAAAATGGAGGTTGTAATGCAGAGGTGGGCAACTATGGCCCCTTTATGACTTGTGGACTTCAACTCCCAAAATTCCTGAGCTAGCATGGCTTGCTCAGGAATTCTGGGAGTTGAAGTCCATAATTCATAAAAGGGCCATAGTTGCCCACCCCTGTTGTAATGGGAAGTGACTTTAGCTATGCCTCCGTTTCCAGTTTGCTCACAAATGCATGTGAAGTTCATGTTTTTCTCATGGGTACAGTCAGAAAGACAAGTCCTTTAAAAGCACAGCATGGTTTCTGGAATTTTTTCCAACCACTTTCCCAACAGTGCTTATTGGAGGTGTCTTATTTTTCCCCCTGTAATACAATTGCTCATGTATGCGTGCGTGCCCATGTTCCTACTCTTGAAATGTGGTACACCTACATGTGTTTATATGTGTGCATATTCTCCCTAGAATTAAATCAGGGCGTGTACCCATGTAACTAACTCTTGCCTTAGTTGCTTGGATTTACTGCGTGTTCCTGCTGAATGCAGTATATGTGAACTGGGAAGCATAGAGTGGGCTGCATATATATCAGGCTTGATCACAGGGCCAAGAGGGAGGAAGGGTTAAGAATGGAGCAGTTGACAGAATTCTATAGGATTGTAGTGGGGTATTTTTTCTTCTGGATCCTAAACTTGGCTTTCCAACTTCTCCCACCTCCCATCTCACGACAGATTTGATCCTGTTTTCACATAATGATCCTTGAAGATGTGTGGATTTTCAACTCCCAGAATTTTCTAGCCAATAAACCAGAGTATTCTTGTAAGTTCCAGATAATCAATAATCAATCACCAAAAGGAAGTACCTAATCCTGACTTGCTCTGGAAAGCAATCAACTATGGGGCTCATTTGACTTTCATGAAAGATTGTCCACAATACAGAGTCATAATGGGGAAATAATGAATGTCACCCTCCCCAAAGTAGGAATCACCAAGGATGAGTCACATGCCCAGGTAGTAAGAATCAAGGAAGACCTTTTTAAAGGCACAATCTTTCAGGATCTGGCCAATTAATGTCTTGCAATGAAATAAGACACCTCCTTCCTTTAGTGACCACATTATGCTACTCGAGCTCTGACGTCTGACCCAAGAAAATTGACGTAGCTTTTAAGATGCGCTAAGATTCTTCACATGTTTTACAACCAAGGCCTTAATAGGATCAGGATGATTCTCCATAAGATCCCTTTGTTATGAGGCAATTGGACTGTGTAGGATGCCTTTAGCCTAGATATCTCTGGGAGGTGATAAGGATGTTTCTCTTTCTTACACAGGCAGCACATTGTGTGCTCGCCCAAAACCCAAATAACCAAGAGTTGGCTCGTTTCTACTGTCACACCCAAAACATCATCAGCCGGCGGCTCGTCTTGAGACAGTGAGTAGCCTTCTTTTGGGGAAGACAGTTACAAGCAGGGTCTAAAACCTCTAATTTCTAGGGTTAAGATACCGTTTCCAGCCCAACAATAAATTGAACCTTTTTCTTCCCATTTTTAAACTTATTTTCTTCCTGTTGCCCATTTTTCCCCTAAAAATCTACTTGTACTCTGACATGAATTATTAATGCTTTATTTAGTCTCATGTTCTTTATGGGGAACATTTTGTAATTATTAACAATGCATCCATATTTAGGAGTGAGATTGGGGGTTGGTGAGATTTCAGTAAATAGAGCTAAGGTTTGTCTGTACTTTATAATTTGTGTGTACTTTTGAAAATGCCAGTTTTACTACTATCATACAGGTAAATTCATGGCTGCCTTGAGATTTCAATCAACCTGGCATATTATACAGTTTCTGCTCTTAACTGCTCCAATATAGAAGTCACATTGCTTTTTCCCAGTCAGCCTTTTCTCAACTCCTCTTCTTTTGACTCTCTTCTTTTACTGTTTTCTAAATTTGGCATTATGGGTCAAAACTGAAATTGATTGGATTGAGCTTGGTATTTCCCAGCCTGGCAACTTTAGGGTGTTTGGACTTCAACTCCCAGAGTTCCCTAGCCTGTAGGAGAAGCTGAACTCCATACCTCTTAAAATTGATGAGTTTGGGCAAACAATGTTTTAGAACAGGCATCTCCAAGTGTTAGGACTTGTGAACTTCAACCTCCAGAATTCCTCAGGCAGCCATGCTGTCTGGGGAATTCTGGGAGTTGAAGTCCACAAGTCTTAAAGTTGCCCAGTTTGGAGACCTCTGGTTTAGAAGAGCTGGGTGGTTTTTGGTTGCTATCTCACTTTGGCCATGTACTCAGCGATTCTGTTCATACCTCTCATTATAGCACAACTTTTCTAACCAAAATGTTACGTTTGGCTAGGTTCATATATTGCAGTGAGCCACAAGGAAACTCACATATCCCATTAAGGCAAAAACTAGATTCTTCCCTAACCAAAACCACATTATAGCTTAGTTTGACATGAACACCCTGTCAGTGTGTGGTTGGCTATAAAGAGTATGGATAGCCTTCAGTGAACAAGGGTAATTGAGTGCTGCAAATTCATTGATCACCTGATTTTGTATGCAGGGACCCTTCTGTGAAGAGGACTATCTGCAAATCCTGCTTCTCTCTCCTCATTCCTGGAGTCACCTCAACTGTTCGCCAAAGAAGTCAGTATTATATTCTTTTCCTCCTCTTTTGCAGAGCTGCCTGGATGCTCTTTGGTGTTATTCTTGCTCTAGAATCTGATATGGTTGATGTCTCCCCACCCACCGTTGGGGTAAATGGATGCTAGGGTTGAGGTGGAGAAGAGGGTCTCTGGGGTGGGTGGTGGAGAGGAACTACCTGCATTTCCCACTTTGAATTCTCTCTTTTTACCCAGTGGCCACAAAGCCAAAGTCTTTGCTTGTAGTTTCATATTTCAACTCCACAGCATTATAATGCTAAAAAAAGGTGATGGCTGGAAAACCTCCCCATTGTTCTTTTTCTTCAAAGCCAACCTTTTTGTTTCACAAATTGTTCACATTCTGTTTCTAGTGTGATAGGTTTGCAAGGCCGGCGCGTTGTGCAACAAGGTCACATAGTGTAAGTCACGATTGGGACTGGGTTAGGAATTTCTGTCCACACTGTGAGTTGTGTTGGGGGAAGGTGTGTGCACGAAGGGAGGGTCAGCCAATCTCATTGTACACATGTTGTACTTGGACAATAAAGGTAATAATAATAATAAAAAAAGGAAGGCTTCTTTCACACCATCTTTGCCATTTTTTTTTGTTTGCTCATATTCTTTTCTCAGTTCCTCAGCCGAAAAAGCCATTATAAATCTTTTCTTTTCTTTTTCTTTTTCCTTCTTTCTTCTTGCAACAACCAAGATATTTCAAAAAAAAATAGAACAGTCCCAGAGTCATCAATCAATCCAAGCCAAGGCAAAGTTCTCACTTTCTCTTCCTGGGGTAGTATCAATCAAAAAAAAGAAAGTCCAAATCTGTATCTTAAAGCCTTATTGCAATATATTTCAGTCTTCAAATCCTTAAGGAATCTCCTCCAACAAAATCTTAACATATAAATATTTTTTTAGTCCTCTCCCTTCCCACTTATCACTTAAAGCCAGTTTTTACCTGAAAAAGACAGGTTTCTTAATATCCACTTGTTAATTCCGTAGGGAAGGAGAGTAAACTTTCCTTTCAGCACCTCCAAATTGCCGCTTATTTTCTCTTCTGGAAGGTATCATTCAAAAAGCCATAATTTCCAGGAATTTCGTTAAATATGTCTTAGAGTCCTGGGAACCAAGAAAAACTTTCTCTTTTCAAAGGCTTTCTCCTCTTCCTCCTGCGCATTCTTACCCGGCTGCCAGCTTCTTTGTGGCGGCCATTGCAGACCGCCGCTACACCGTCTTGGGAAAAGGGGGTTCTGCCGGCCGGGAAGGGGGTCTGCAACACCCCCAAACCCCTCTCCGGATCCCCCCTATCTTCAGCCACCCCTGCAGGGCAGCCTTAGCTCCAAACCCGTCCGGATCGGAGCACCAAAAACGGCTAGCGCAGCAGGGATCGCGCAATATCGCGAATCCCTGCCGCTTGCGAAGCCGACAAACCGGAAGATCTGTACGTGCCTGTTCTAAAACATATTATGCAGTCTTTTTGATGTAGAATCCATGAAATGACATTGCCAAGGAAAGTTAGGGAGCTTGACTAGTTGATTTGGTAACAGGTAGTCCTTGACTTATGACTACAATTGAGCCCAAAATCTCTGTTGCTAAGGAAAGCATTTGTTCCATTTTACAACCTTTCTTGACACAGCTGTTAAGTGAATTACTGCAGTTGTTAGTTAACACGATTGTTAAGTGAATCTGGCTCTCGCATTGACTTTTCTTGTCAGAAGGTGGCACCAGGGGATCACATAATTTTGGGAACCTTGTCAAAAATACATGCCAGTTGCCAAATATTTGAATTTTGATCATGTGACCATGGGGTCATTGCAACGGTTATAAGTATGGAAAACAGTCCTAAGTCTCTTTTTTTCAGTGGCTTTGTAACTTTGAACAGTCACTAAACGAATGGTTGTAAGTCAGGGACTACGTGTAAGTTTGGGGAATCCTGGTAGTCCTCGATTTATAACCGCAGTTAAACCCAAAATTTATGTTGTTAAGTGAGAACTTGGTTAAGTTGAGTTTTGCCCCATTTTATAACTTTTCTCGCCGCTTTTGTTAAGTGAATCATTGCAGTTGTCAAATTAGTCATGTGGTCGTTAAGCAAATCTGGCTTCCCCATTGACTTGGTTTGTCATGAAGGTTGCCAAAGGGGATCACATGACCCCGGGATTGCAACCGTCACAAATGTGAGTCAGTGGTCAAGCCTCCAAATGTAAATCATGTGATGCTGCAACAGTCGTAAGTGTGTAAAACGGTCTTAAAGTCACTTTTTTCGGTGCCGTTGTAACTTCAAACGGTCACTAAGTGAACTGTTGTGGGAACTCTAGTGGGAAGGGAGGGCAAGCCTTCTGTTCCAGGTCCCTTTCGGTGACTCATTCTTCCATGTTTCCAACCAGGGCGCCGTCATCAACGTTGGACTGTTGTGCGGTGCCTGAACTGTGGCCTAAGCAAGCGTTTCCTGAGTAAGCCTGACTACAAGTTGTGGTCGGAGCAGCCTGAGGCGTTGCTGGAGAACCAGGCGCCAGCCGGTGCAGGCACCAAAGGTAAACCAATGCAGGGAAGGCTCTGGAAAGAGAAAAAGCTGCTGGGAATGGAGGGAAAAGGTCATGGTTGCTTTGTGCCTGAAGGTCCCTCTTGAGCAACCTCGGTTGCCTCAGAGCTGAACCCGCCATCTCAGTTGCAACAGCAAAGGTTTGTGGTGAACAGGATGTTGAGGCAAATTTGACAGAAGAGAGGCTTTTCAAAATTTATCATATGTTTGGAGGAGCAATTCCTCTATGTGAAATTTATTTCAGTACTTATTTATTTTCCCTGTTGGCTTTCAGCTACTAGGCCTGGAAGGAACTAAAAAAAACAGTTTGGTATCATGGTTAAGGCACATGAGAGTGAGAAAATGTGATCTTCAGTCTGGCCTTAGGCACAAAGCCAGCAAGGTGTCCTTGGGACAGTCATTGTCTCAACTTTTGGAAGAACCGGTTGTTTTTTTTGTGGTATGGAGACAATAACTTGGTCCTTAACACCAATAAGACCAAGGAGCTTATGGTGGGCTATGGAAGGAATAGATCAGACGTCTATGGAGACCGAATGGAGCAAGGGGCCAGTTTTAAGTTTCTGGGTGTTACCATAAAAGAGGACCTGACCTGGGGTGCTCACATTGTAGCACTGGTCAAAAGGGCCCAGCAGAGATTATACTACCTGAGGCTTCTCAGGAAACAACAACTGAATGAAAAACTGCTGGTGACCTGCTACCGCTGCACCACAGAGAGTATCTTAACTTACTGCACCTCTGTATGGTTTGCCAGTTGCACAATGGCAGATAGGACAGCACTTCAGAGGGTTAACGTCATTGCCCAGAAGATCATTGGTTGCCCTCTCCCCTCTCTGGAAGAGCTTTATAGCTCCCGCTGCCTTAAGAAAGTTCAAAACATTCTCAAAGATCCATCTCATCCTGGGCACCTTTTTTTTTTTTAACTATTACCATCTGGCAGACGGTACAGAATAATAAAAACAAGGACAAATAGTCTGAAAAACATCTTCTATCCCAGAGCAGTAACTATATTGAATTCTACTATAGAGTGCAATATTAATATATACTAATATTAATGCAATATCATGGGTTTTCAGTTCAATTGTATAGAATGCGAAGGATATGTGTTTGCGTTTTATTTTTATAGTTACAATGTACACTGAAGGTGGCGTTTAATTTCTTTGTACGAGGTGCAATGACAATAAACTAAACTGAAGAAGAAGAAGAAGAAAGCAAGGGGTAACTACTTCTGAAAAACCTTGCCAAGAGAATTGCAAGACCTTGTCTGGTCACAATGAGTCAACCGGTGACTCACACAAAAAAGTGTGGAAGGAACTCAGAAAATAAATTTAGGGAGGACATGCAGCCTGATCTTAAGGGGCCCGTTCCTACTGTTGAATAAGATTACACTGTTCTCTACTGACTGTGTTTACTAGTTCTATTGAATTTTATTTGCTGAAGGGCAGGGGTGGGGAACCATAGCCTGATAGATTTCAAAGACCAGTCATTGGGCAGGGTGCCAAGATGTCTGACTACATATGTAGCATTTATTCCTTATGTACCATTTTTACAAGCAAGGAAGAGTAGCATAGATACAGTATTTGGATTGGAGAATAGATACCACATGAATGAAACCTCCCAGCCACATCCTTAAGACTAGTGGTGATGTTAGTAAATGAGATCATCTACTGTATAAGTCCGGGACTTTCCACCTTCACCAAAATACACCTAAGAAACGAGATCATGCAAGTAGCAAAAGAGGCCCATATAGGCATCAGACACTGCAGTTTGCTGCTAGCGTTAGCGCCATCTATAGGATCTCAACTGCTACTACAAATTAGTATAACAATAGCCAGCATAAATGCCACTTAGCCGTCCTGTATTAGCCATAAAGTCTGGTCAAAAGAACATAATTTTGCTGTAAACAAATCCTAGATGGTCTGTAGTTTCTTGTTCTAGATTAGCCAGAGAAATGATTTGAGTTGGAACTGGGAGAAAGGAGAGGAATTACAAAAAATAAAGAGAAGGGACAATTTACATAGAATTAAGGCAAGAGAAGGGCAGGTAGCTGTTTAGCAACTGGCATCCACAGACTTCTCTTGAAACCTTCTCCTTGTGTCCCATTTTTAGGCCAGACCCCCAATCCAGCACAAGAGCCACACAAGGCCTCCCAAATGAAAAAGGCAACAGTCCCGAGTTCAAGTCTGTGCAGCAGTCTTACCTCTGAGGAGATCACAATGGGCGCCCAATTAATGGGAGCAAAGAGTGGGAAGTGACATCTGCCTTGGGATTGTTCCATTTCCAGACAGGCAAGCAGCTGTAGCCCAGGAGTGAATCCCCTGCCTTGGATGGAAGAAGGCAGCAAGATGACATTCAGGAGAAGAGAAAGTCAAGAAACGTTCTTTCCAAAAGTTCATCTTGCTACTTGAAGAACTTCAATGAGTTGGTGATCTTAATTTTAGGATAAAGTTGGCATTTTTGCTAATCTCTTGCTATTTGGCATTTTATGGGTTTTTTAAAGTTTTAATATGACTGTTTTTGACATGTTAATTGTTTCATTTTTTCTGGCTGCCCAATGCTGAAGTCGCTTCTGGCAAGATGGGTAGCCATACATAATGTAATGACCCAGGGCATGGCACAAAGGCAATACAGTCACATAAGTAAGAAAAGTCCCTTTAATACCTCCAACTTTGCCCCCAATGTCCAGTTACCTTCGGCTGGAGAAAAAAACACTCCCCAAAACAGTCTTTAAATGGAGGAAATTCAGTCTGAAAACAAAGTACATATAAATTGTAAATAAAAATCCACACAAACCATGCTGCAGCAATTAACTGGACAGGGCAGGAGAAGGAATTGCAGACTTCAAAGTCCAACAAAACACACACATTTAGGAAGATGCCAGGAACCCAGATAAGCCTCGACAACAAAAGATAACTCACAATTTTCTTCCAGCAAGTTGCTGTGTGCAATCTCCCTTTTTAAACACTGTGTTCTCAGCTGCAGCTAATGAAGGGAATCAAGGCCCTTTCCTCCCCCGTAAGGCACACAACTCACATTGTTCCCTTCTCCATTCGTCCCTGCATGTCCTAGGATGAAGAGGAGGTGAGCCTGGATCTTCCTCTGAATTCCTTCCCCCTTGCTCTACCTCTGCCCTGCCCTGCCCAGCCAGACTTTGCCCTTCCTCAGTTTCTTCCACAGCCAACGGAGCCCACTCCCACTCCCTGTCAGCTGTTCACCCCCCCACCCCCCGAGTCAGATTCCAACAGGGGCATGACACATAATTTAATAAATACACACTGTACAACTAGAGCAGGGGTGTCAAACTCAAGGCCTAGGGACTGGTCCAGCCCATGGGGTGCTTAGATCTAGACCATGGGGAAACAGCGAAGGACTGGCCCACGGTGCCTCTGCCAGCGAAACAGAGCTCGAGAGGGCTGCACACAAAGCTCTGTTTTCACTGGCAGAGGGTTGCAGGAAGCTGTTGCAGCCAAAAACGGAGCTCAGAAACCCATTTTCTGTGGCAGAGCGCTCGGGACATCACAGGAGCCCCCTGACAAAAGTGACATGGAGTTGGCCATGCCTACCCTAGCCATGCCCACCCTAGTCCCGTCCCCCCCGAGGTCAAACACAACCCTGATGCAGCCCTCAATGAAATTGAGTTTGACACCCCTGAACTAACTTTATTTATTTGTTTGTTAAAGATGTTTGCCACCTATCGCTGTGGGGCTATTCTACCATCGCTGCTAAGAATGTGTGTCCCCTTTTCTATCTCTATGACTAGAGGAATCCCTCTTTTCCAACACTGCTGGTCGTGACTTCAGTTTCTGCCATTCTTTAGCTCAAGGGTCTTCAAACTTGGCAAGTTTAAGACTTGTGGACTTCAACTCCCAGAATTCCTGAGCTAATATGACTGGAGGAGGAATTCTGGGAGTTGAAGTCCACAATTCTTAAAGCTGTCAAGTGTGAAGACCCCTGCTTTAACTAGATGCACCTCAGATCTAAAGCACTGCTGATGTTCCTGTCAGAAAAAGCTTAATGAAAAAGTGACAAAGGAAATAAAGTTTCAGTCTCATATCACTTTTGTGTACCAGATAAATACAGGAAACTGGAAATAAATTTGTTTTTAAAATACGTGTACAGTACTTGCATTGTGCTTTCTACCAAATTGCTCAATTTATCTTTCCGCTTCAGGGAAGTGCTAAAGCTAAAAATGTATATACCTTTGTCTAAAACTGTGAGACTGTCAACCTTTCAAGTTCAGGAAACAACAATTATTGAAATTCTACTTTTGTTGTCGGGTATAATAACAGAATTGAACGCCTGCCAGTTTCCCTTTGCAGCCTCTTCTACCATGCAGAACCAATGTGGGATTATTCTGAGTTTCTTTTATTTCTCTCCTTTCCCAAGGCTGAGGTGTCACATACTTTTATCTGCTAAAGGTTCTTGTCCTGTATTCCTTTGTCAATGTTATCTCTGCCGTAGAAACTTGGAACAATTTTATTGACTTGAAGTGGATAGATATGGATATCCAAGAAGACTTCTCTCTTTGGATAGGAAGCCAATAAATTAAATGGGATCGGCCAGTGTGCTGGGAGAAATCAAATCTGAATGTTGAAGTTTCTCAATTCCCTCTTGGTTCTGTCTTCCTTTATATACAGCCCAGCATATAATGTTATTATATTATATGCACCTCCCCAGTCTTCGATGGAAAGTCCTTTTCCTTTTTGGACTTATTTGGCATCAAATGTCAACACATAAAACGTTTTGTATACAGGTTTTATAGTTGTCAACAGAAAGGACGGGGGGGGGGGAGTTTCAAAGAGCAGGCAGCAGTGTGGAATCGAAAGTACATTCCATTCATATTTTCTTCAAAGACTGATTAGCTGACTGAAGCTTCTGCCGCACAAAAAATCTAATTGGAGAGCATGATTGATAAGTCTTGGCTATGGACGTGTTTCATTGGATGATACACTCAGAGGGGTGGGGGGGAAAGCAGGATCAAGGGTGACAGTGAATTACGTATCTCAGAGTTGGCTACGCCCAGGTTAATGCCGGATATAGAATGTTAACTTCAAATAAATCCTTTTTAGTGTTGGGAGTATGGCTCGAGGCTCATGATTTAATTGGAGTAACTGCCGGAATCCTGACACCAACAAGGCCTCGTGTCTTTTCAGACACACATGTCTAACTGAGCCAGTTCTTTTTTTCTCCATCCCCTGTAATACAGTACTTCTCTTTTTCTGCACTCCAGCCGTTCCCTTTTGTGGCTGTTCCTCCTCTCAGACCTGTCTAGTTTGGGTAAGTCTCTTTTAAGGCTGGCTTCACCTTGCAACAGGCTTCGTCTTGGCTTCATGATATGCGTTATTTAATTATTTGTTATTACAGCTGTTAACTACTATACTGTCTATAATATTTTAACTAATCACATTTTGGAATACAGGCACTTAATGCTACCTGAATGTTTGCACCTTTTAAGTGTGAAAAAGGATCTCATATGCAATACAAGAAAGAAAGAAAAAATCCAGTACATTTGTTGGTTGAACAAGTAATCCATTCGTGTACAAAAGTTCTTATTCCGTCCCTTTTTCTACTTTAATCAGAGTTATTACTGCTAAACATCCTACATATACTGGTACTTCTCAACTTAGGACTACAATTGAGCCAAACATTTCTGTTGCTACATGAGACAAATGAGTTTTGTCCCATTTTACGACCTTTCTTGCCACAGTTGTTGACTGAATCACTGCAATTGCTATGTTGTAACATGGTTGTTAAGTGAATCTGGCTTCCCTATTGACTTTGCTTTAAATATAGCCATAAGACCTGTGGAAAGCGTGCCTTTCCTTCCCCAGGCATTGCCAACCTCTCCCCCCTAGTAAAAAAAAAAAAACTAGAGCAAAAACTTCATGCAATAGTAAAAAGAAGAATAGAAAAGGGGGCTGCTGTGTATTGTTTAATGGACTGCTAAATTGGCAAGATGGACTGCTAAATTGGCCACACCCACCCAGTCACATGACAACCTAGCCACGCCTGCTCACTCACATGACCAAGCCACGCCCAGCCAGCAAGCCACACCCACAGAACCGGTTAAAATTTTTGAATCCCATCCCTGCTTTGCTTCCCAGAAAGTTGCAAAAGGTGATCCCATGACCCCTGGACACTGTAACCGTCATAAATATGAGTCAGTTGCCAAACGTTTGAGTTTTGATCACACGACCTTGAGGACGCTGCAGTGATTGTAAGTGTGAAAAATGGTCATAAGTTACTTTTTTCAGTGCCTTTGTAACTTTGAACAGTCACTAAACAAACTGTTGTAAGTTGAGGACTACCTGTAATTTGTTGAGTCATGTCTTTTGACATAAATAGAGCCAGTTTTTACTTCATTTTTAGGTAAGCAGGAAGCAAGCTGACTTGCTGAGCATTGTAAAAGCTCATCTGAAAAAAAGAGTTGAGTCAGATAACCAAGAGGAAGGATCCATTCCAGAAAATTTATACTAGTGTGGGGAATTTTTTTCACAGGCAAATACAATCCTGACCATAAAAGGGCATTTATTCTGGGTTAGCTAATTCAGTCCCAAAGAGAACTGCAAACAAATCTAAACAGAATCTCCTTGTCTCTGAACTTACTGAGTGGAAGGAGAAGTTGACAAAGCAAATTCATCTTGGTATTCTGTTCTTACAGCTTGTAGATTTACAAATATGCTTTGATTAATCAGATTTTCATTAGACCTCATTGCAGAGATCAGGATGATGACAAATTGGGACAAAAGTCATATCTCCAAAGCCAAGTAATCTGAAAGCCAAAATATTTTATCACCATAATTTATGATTGATATGAAATCAATTCCCCCTAGCTGTGTTTTGGTTATGCTGTATCTCTTGTTGATTCAGCTTTCCCTCCTAATGCCCTTCGGATGTGTTTAGTCTAAGCTCCCATAATTCCCAGCCAATGTAAACCATTTATTAGACCTGTAGTCTTAACATCTGGATTCTGGAGGATGCTAAGTTGAGGCAGGTTGCCTCTGCGCTAATTGTGAGAAGTTAAGTTTCTAAAGGCTATATAACCTGCTGCTCTGTAACTTCTTGGAACTCGTTTCATAAACTCTTAGAATTGTAGGGTTGGAAAAACATCACTGAAGTTTTCTCTCAGATTCTCTGCATGCCAAAAAGGCTTTTCTAAAAGGCCAACTGGACTTCAAGCTTCTTGGATGAGAAGCAAAAGATTTTCAAAGGAAAAAAAAAAACACAAGAAAGACTAGTTGCCATTTGGAAAAAACACCTTTGAGACAAGCATGATCTAGATCAGGGGTGTCAAACTCAAGGCCCAGGAGCCAGATCTGATCTGCGGGGTACTTAGATCTGGCCCACGAGGCTGCCCTGGAAACAGCAAAGGACCAGCCCACGGTGCCTCTGCCAGTGAAAATGGAGCTCGGGAGGGCCGCGTGCAGCCCTCCGGAGCTCTGTTTTCATTAACAGAGGGTTGCAGGAGGCCATTGCAGCCAAAAACAGCTCGGGAGGGCTGCACACGGCACTCCCTAGCTCCGTTTTTGCTGGCAGAGAGTTTGCAGGAGGCCATCACAGCCAAAAACGGAACTTGGAAGCCCATTTTCATTGGCGGTGTGCTCAGGC